TGGATCCTGCAAGACAGGATTTGGACTTCTTCCATCCCATGTGGTAGATCTAGATGGGGGTGGGTGACCTCAGAGTTCTCGGCCTCCAAAGGCACTCCAATTCCCCATGGTCTCCTTCTGCTAGTCAATCTTTAGCTCATTCCTCAGTGCTCCATTCACCCTGACTTCACACTAGAAATGTCACCAATTACTCTAAAAATGGTTACAATATGAAAGCATAAAGCAGTAATAATACAAAACCATGAAAATAAAAGATTAATTAGAAAGTAACATATAGAAGTTACCCACTAAAATTATTTTATAAGATAATCTGTAAAAAGAAAGGTCTGGTTCATCTTAAACTTTGCAAATTAGTGATCTAAATTTGCAAACTAGTAATCTATTTGTTATGATAACTATGCCAATTCCTCAATACTGTGGAAAATATATTTTAAAAAAATAATAAAAACGAAAATGACATCTTCTAAAATCCCCTTCCCAAGACTGAGGAAAAAGTGACTTCCTCATGGACATGAGTTGAAAGCTACTGTCTGTATTCTCACCCCAACTTGAACATAAATGTTAGAAAAGAATCGGTTTACTTCCTAAGTGTAGATGTCTGCCAGAGCCTTGATAACTCTCTTGGTAGTCCACTCTTGAAATATACCTACCTAGTGAATGAAAGTGACATTCCTGCACGTTTGGAATGTCGTCTACATAATTACATATGCCTATAAAAAGCTTAGATTAGAGCTCACTATATTACTGAAAGCCTGATTATCATGGCCCCTGTCTGGGCTTAAGACAGACTCAATAAAATTGTTTTTGTACATGTGAATATGCACTTATCCAACAAACAAAACACTATATAATCCAACTAAACTGCAGGGTTCTGAAATGTTAACTGTGTTTAGTACCGCATGGGAAGATTGGTAGTGATTCTATGTGTTTCTTTTTTGAGTTTTCTAATTAAGACTATCATAGCTTTGAAGTTACACTATATAATGACATTTTTACATTGAAAGAAAGATCCTTAGACTATCGTGGACAGTAGGTTCAGAAAAATACTTAAAAATATGAATAGAAGGGCCCGGCGCGGTGGCGCAAGTGGTTAAGGTCCTCGCCTTGCACGCACGGGATCCCATATGGGCGCCGGTTCTATCCTAGCAGCCCCGCTTCCCTTCCAGCTCCCTGCCTGTGGCCTGGGAAAGCAGTCGAGGACGGCCCAGAGCTTTGGGACCCTGCACCCGCGTGGGAGACCTGGAAGAGGCGCCTGGCTTCGGATCGTCATAGCATTGGCCGTTGCGCTCACTTGGGGAGTGAATCATCGGAGGGAAGATCTTCCTCTCTGTCTCTCCTCTCTGTATATCTGCCTTTCCAATAAATAAAAACATAATAAAAATAAATCTTTTAAAAATATATATATGAATAGAAGATCTGACCCTAGTTATCTCTTACTGTGTAACAACTAACCTCAAAACCTGAAGTCCTAGAAAAATAATAAGCATATTTTGTCCCACATTTTTGGTAGATCTAGATTTTAGGAGCAATTTTGTTCTGTGGTACTCACTCAAGATTTTCCATGAGGTTGGGGTTAAGATGTTGTCAGGGCTGTAGTCATCTGATATCCTGTGCGTGGTGGGATGTTCCCCTCTGCATATATCTGACTCACAAGACAGTGGCAGGAGGCCCTGGAGCATTGTCATGTGGAGTTCTGCATTGGCAAGTCGAATTTTCTCATCCATGACATTCGGCTCCTTCCAGAGTCAGTGATCAGAACGCAAGGCAGAAAGCATATTAAAGTGTATGGTTTAGGATCATATGTTGTTATTCCACAATATATTATACCTTTTAAAGAAAATAATATTTCTTTTTAACAATGTTGATATTGAGAGGCATGCACATTTATGTAGGCCTATAATTAGAATGGGGGTGTTTAGGTATAGAGGGAGGTGGATGAGACAAAAATTTCGTTTTTTGGCTTTTTTTTTCTCCTGTGTGCATAGGGGTGAAAGGGGAGGAGGCCACTCCTTGTCCTCAAACTGTATCAGCACCTGGGGATGGGGGATGGTCATTGGATGAGGCCTTGGGGACCCCAGCATGGGGAAGAGTGTTCTGAGGGTAATACCTGAATGCTTTTGATCTTTTGATAGTTTGCACAAGTTGTTGTTGGTTTCATCGCTTCAGGGTTGAGAAAATCTTCCCAAGGTCTATTAATTCAAAGTCCACTTCAGTGCATCCATAGACCCAGGAACATGCTGAAACTGTCCAACCTTTGTGCTTTCCATCCTCGGATGAGGCAGTTGACATACCCTATAGCACTAGATGAACTGGCTGTCTTGTCCCCCATTATGCACCTGGACATACTGCCCATTGCACAGGCATGAGCATCTGAGGAGGCCCAGTTGCTCTCCAAGGTCAGACTACAAATCTTATGATTTTCCCTGTGACCAGAGTCTAGCGGTCTAGTCAAAGAGTCCCCCCAGAAACCTCATCTGAGGTGACCCCAGACTTACGCCTATATGCATCACCAGTACAGGGTAAGGTTTGGTTTGTCACCTGCACCAACCAACATACATACCCATGGATGCAGCTGCCTGATCAGTTCCATCCTAGCCCCGTATCATGAACCAACAGGTGTTACAGCTCAGCCCAGCTAGCCTACCTCATACCCAGTTCTCACACATACCAACAGGTGCCTAGTTGGGGCAACCTCCAATAATCACTGCCTAGGGCTGCTTCATCCCCCAGTTTTTTGCATGTGCCAGGCTTTGCTGTAGCCTAGCATGGCCCAGCCTATATCCCATCTTGCTCTTGTGCACACATGTGGATGCTGCAGCTTAGCTCAGATTGACCTGCCCTCAAACCTGGCCGTTACATGTGCTTCTATTTTGTCCAGCCTGACCCACACCCAACCCTGTTTCTTTTATTCACCAGCTATAGGTAAAACCTAGAAGAGAAGTGCCCATAGATCCTCTACCAGGCATTTTCTCTGCCTTAATTCTTGTATCTGCACAGGGGTATTGACATGACCCCCAATCCTGGCATTTGCTAGCTGGTGCTGTAGCCTAGTCCAGCTGGCTCACACCTGTTCTGGCTTTTATGTGCACCAAGTAGGTATGGCAGCATAGATGAACCTGATCCAATCCTTAGACCACCTGCCTATAGTCCCAGCTTTCATGCTTAACAGTGGAAGCAGCAGACAAGCAATGGAATCCAAGAATTCCCCGATCAGGCCAGCTCCCAGCCTTGAGTCTCACGTGTGCCAATGGGTTCTATGACCCAGTCTGAGATGGCCTGTGCCCACTTTCAGACGTCAGCAGGTGCTACAGCCTGGCTCAGCCCAACTCTCAGTCTCAGATCTCACCAGCAAGTATAGCAACATAACCTATCCTGGCCCACCCCAGCCCTTATGTGAACTAATGGGTGTTGCAGTTCAACTTTACCTGACCTGCACCTGGTCCTGGCTCTCACTTTTGGCAGTGTGTCTTGTAGACTGACCTTGCCTGATCTGCACTCAGACCTAGCTCATAAACATTCTAACAGGTGCTATAGACCAGCCTAGTCTAACCTGCTTCCAGCCCTGGTTCTTGCACTCACCAATGAGAACCTTGGATCTCATGTGTGCCAGCAGGGGTAGTGACCCTGCTTGGCAAGGTCTGCACTTAGTCCCACCTCTTGCATGTGTCAATGTAGGGCTACAGCTTGACCCTACTTGGGCCCAGTTCCTGCAAGTGTCAGATGGGTTCCTTTCAGATGAGTTCTGTGGTCCAGCCTGGCTTGACCTGCTTTTTGCATAACCCAGGGGGTGGCACCCAGAGGTGAGCCCACAACTCCCCTACAGAATCTTTTCTCAGACTCATCTCTTTCACATTCTGGTAGGAGTTGCAGCCCAGCCTTATATAGCCCACCCCATGCTCCAACACTTGCAAGTGAGTACTGTGGCCTCACCCAGCCAGACATGCCCCACCCCCCAGCCCAGCTTTCTTGTGATCCAGCAGGCACAATTCCAGGGAGGTCCCCTGCAGCCCTTATCAGACTTTGAGTGTGTGTTCCAGTTCCTGATCCCAGCTTCCTGCTCAAGTAAGACCTAGGAGGCAGTGGTGACTGTACAAGGAATTGGGTTTTTGCCATCTTGTGGGTGGCGTGGTTTGAGTTGGGAGTTCCTAGCTTCAGCCCCACCAAAACCAGGGAGTCTGGATGACAGTTCTGTCTGTCTCTCTACTTGTCACTGTCTGCGTCACAAATACAAAAAATTTTAGTTGCAAGTTCATGGAAAATATGACATTAAAGATAAATTTGACTGGATGGAAAAAAAGCTTGAAACCCAGGCAGAAATTTTAATTAATATGTGCTACCAGGGAACTCAAAGTACTCTATACTTTTACCAAATTTACTAACATCCAAGGAAAGTAAGATGAGGGTCTTTTGCTGTTTATCTTCTTACAAGCACTCTGGGTCATTAAAAAGAAAAATCCTAAATGCCATAGCAGAAGTGTAGCAGGAAGGACAAGTTAAGCCAGGAGATGAGCTGAGGCTGCCGTGGGAATCTCACCTGGGCTCTGATGTCAGGGAAAGAATGCACTACACTGAGGCCCTCTTAACCCTTCCACAGGTTGGAAGGGGCACTGTGGATAGAACAAATTGTACTTGGCAGCGCTGGAGCTAAGCAGCTCTTCATGTTCTGAGCAAAGGGAGGTTGGGATGAAGGAGGGGGGGAAGGCGGGGGCAAAAAAAATGCGAGAGGCAGAGGCGGGGAGGGACAGAGGGCTGCCCAGGTCAGCAGACAGAGGAGAGTGCAACTGCCTGGACAAAATACGGTGGGAAGGAGCCCAAGGTGTTACTGCCCAGAGACCCCCCGGGCTGCAGCCTGCGCAGCCCAGGGAGGGGTCTGGGGGCTGCGGGCAGAACCTGGTCCCTCCAGCTTTCCCGCTGCCAGCGTCCAGCGTGGGCGAGGTAGTGGTAGAGGTTGGCGGAGAAGAACTGGGCGTGCTGCTGCCCTGGACCACCAAGCAGCAGCTATGGGCTACCAGGGACAGCTACCGGTCATTCCGGTCATTCCGCTGCAGGTAAACTGGCTAGGATAATCTCTGAGGCCACTTCCTTCTCCCTGGGAGCACATCTTGGTTTAGCACCGTGGGAAAGTTCTCCGGGAGGGAAAAAAGTTGTCTTGGTCTTTTTGTTTGCTTCCTTTTTTTTTTTTTTTTTTAGTTTGTCAGGCACTTCATAATGCAATCTACAAATTTCTTCAGATGGCACCTGGTGACTTCCTTTCTTAAATCCTGTCTGGGACTGTGTGTAACAGCAGGGCAACTGTAGTGTAGCCATTCTAAGATAGAGTTTGCTTTGAAAGAGCTGTGAAATTAGTAGCTATTACTGTTGTTCTTCTATTGTTATGTTTCTTGAAATATTATCCTTATTGACAATGTTTAATATTGCAAATAGTGTGTTAATACCCGGTATTGCATACTTGTCTGGCATTTTTCTAACCTATGAGTAATGTCTGTTTAATGTCTATTTCATCTATAAAACTAGAGAAATTTAGGTGATAGAGAGACCCTGGTTTCCAATCAAGAGAATAAAGGGAAAACTTACCAGTCTGCTGCTGTTTTTAATGTTGTCAACTCCATTATAGGTTCTGGTATAATAGGTAAGTGTTTTGTTTTAATTTTGAGTGAATATATAATTTTTGAGAAAAGTATGTTTGCTTGCATTCAGCATTTTTAAGGGAAAAAAAAAATCATAGTGAGAATGTTGGTAACTTTGTTCCCTAACAGCTTTCCGTGTTTCCCATAGTTACAGTCTGCCCTCGCCCGCTTTAAACTGAAGTTGAGGTTGTGATTCACACTCCACAGCTAAGAGCATTCACTGCGTGGGTAGATCAAAGTAGAGCAGCATATGGGAGGTGCTGAGATTTTTAGGCTGTATGGTCAATAGATAATGTTACTTAGTTTTGTTTTTTCTTTTGCCCAAATATACTTGGAATACCCTTAAATGACCTTAGAGAAAGAAGTGTAAGACCTCCAGATACCACTAATATTGCAGCAGCAAAATTAAATGTGAACATTTACCAATCTTGTGCAGATTGTGTCAATACAGTATTTCTTATGCATATTAATAGTGCTAAATTCTCAAATACAAACAGCATGATATACTAAACTTAAATATCTCTGATTCAGTAACGTCAATGTGTTAAGTACAAAAGCACATGATTTTTTTAAACAAAACATCGAATCATCAGAATGAAAAAAGAAATGCACAGCTCATGTTTTCCCCATGTATTAGAAACAAAACTTGTGAAAAAAAATTATTAAACGTGCATTGCTTTAGTTATCAATACAGATTTTTTTTTTCCAGTATTTTTTTGTTTCCATTATTCAAGAACATTCCCTCTTAGAAAAGGCAAAGACATTGAGAAATCACATTTGGTCATATTTTCATCTCAGTCATCACACACGTTGAGCTCCCTTTCACAAGCTGATGTGCTCCTGGATCTTGTATTTTGCGCATAGGTACACCTAGCTTTTCAATGAATTCGAAGCAGGTAAGGGCAAAAATTGGTTAGAGTCGGCCTCTGCTCAGAGAAGAACGCAGAGCTCCCCCTAGCTGTCGTTAGAACGAAGTGTCAGGTCTGGTCTGTGTTCCTTAAGTTTCTGCTTGGCTCAGTAGGAAGGGATGGGAGCCACCTCAACACATTCCAGGGTACATGTCACCTTCACCCTGACGGAACCTTTTGTGTGAACTAGCACCTACTTTTCACTTGCTGTTTTCTAATTTTTATTCCATCATCTCACCAACTTGCTCTCTGGACATATTCCTGAATGGATAACAATAGGCTGAAATATGTGTGAACGTTCTAACCTTTCAGTATTGTGCCATGTGTGTGACTTGTAACTGTCATGTAAACATGCAGATTTGCATAACCCACGATATAGATGAATTGGGAGGACACGTGTACTTTGACATGCTACTAATGCAAGGGATGGGGAATTTTATGCTTTCTTTCAAGGATTGCCTTATTCGATGAAGCAAGCTGGATTTCCTTTGGGAATACTACTTTTATTCTGGGTTTCATATGTTACAGGTAAAATGATATGTGACTCTTATTCCTGCAATTTTTATTGTGCCATGTCTACTCATACACACACACATACAGAGAAATAGAATTTACAAGTTAATTAAAAAGTGCATCAAAGAATCTTAAAGAATTTAAGTACTTATGTCTGATGAGATTTACTTGTTTTACTAATCCTTTAAAAAGATTAGGAAAAGTTGGAGAGCATCGTTGTTAAAAAGACTAAATCCTTTTCATGTGCCTTCACAGTTTAAGCAGAAAGTGGTGGGCGGGAATCACTGTAAGGGTAGATTAAGGCTGAGCAAAGCTTGTGCCATGACAGTGCAGATGGCAGGGCTTCGTGAGCAGGTGTCTGCAAACGAGTAAACTTTTCCTGCCATGTTTGTGCAGGTGGAGCTGAAAGCTGTACTTGTTAACCAGCAGGGTTCACTCCTCCCCACCTGGCCCCTGCCTGCCCACACTGCCAGCCTGCCACTGTCTTTCATTGCAGCCATAAGGTGCTTGTTTACCATGGCTTCTCTTTTTCTCCCATCATGCCTTATATAAATGCAGCTTTTTAAACTCAGTGATTTCCCTTCCTGCCATTCTCACCACCCATGCCCCGTCATCCACCACTTTGCTTAATGGCAAATACAGCATCTTTCCATACCCTGGGCAGGGAGGTGGTCACTGAGAGATATGGTCTACTCATTAACAGACACCATTATATAGCTCTGCTACCATGGTGACTGCTGTCCGTGGTCACACAGATGCTTTCTACATCCTAACACAGCAGCTGCCCCCACTCTGGAGGGATCTGTGAGGTTAGGATGTCCCTGTCCATTTCCTCACAGCTTGAGCCACTGGCTGAGCCAGCCTCTGGCTTCTCAGTGTGACCTGTGGGTGCACCAGAGCTTCCCTGGTGCACTGCTGGATGCAGTGAGCACCCCCTACAGAGGGCACCTCCTACAGAGGGCACCCCCTACAGAGGGCACCTCTGCTAAGCCCACCCTGTTCTTCCCCATCCTTTCCTCCCCTTCTCCTGGGAGCGTCCCACCCATAAATCGCTTTTCCAGAAGCTCTGGTTCAGCTCCGTTCTGGAGACCCAGATCAAGGTGCCATTCCTCATGAAATTTCAGGCTTGCCCAAGACCAGCCCATACCTGCTGTTTTGCCTCATAGTTAGGAAGAGACAAAATGTGAGGTAAACTCCAAACTGCCAGCTCCCTGCCACCCCACCCTTGAAAGCTGAGCTGCTTCTAGCCCCTGCAGCTCTTAATTCATGTGAGACTTCAGAACTAGAAGTTGCCTCTTTTCTTCAAAGATTTATTTTATTTTTATTGCAAAATCAGGTATATAGATAACAGGAGAAACAGAGAGGAAGATCTTGCATTCGATGATTTACTCCCCCAAGTGGCCACAACAGCGGGAGCTGCGCTGATCTGAACACAGGAGCCCAGCACCTCTTCCAGGTCTCCCACACGGGTGCAGCGTCCCAAGGCTTTTGGCCATCCTTGACTGCTTTCCCAGGTCGCAAGCAGGGAACTGGATGGGAAGCAGGGCCGCCGGATTTAGAATTGGTGCCCATACGGGATCCTGGCACATGCAAAGCGAGGACTTTAGCCAGTAGGTCATCATGCTGGGCCCCAGAATAAAATAAATTTGTTGTCCAAGCAAACATAAGGAACTAAAAGCAATTACCTCTGCTAAATAACATCAGCTGAGCTATGGATATTTAATAATTTGCATGCAATGTAATAATTGATCTTGGTAACTTGTGTTATACAACTAAATAAAAATTTTGATGTTTGCTATTGCCTAAATAATTAACAAATTCTTATTTTTCAGAGCAATGTATTTTGAACTTTTATAAAATACAAAAATACATGGTTTTTCTCTAAACTTTAATCACATTTTTGAAGCTGCTTGCCTCCTCATAGTGACACAAGTCCTCCTTGGACCTACTCCATAGTCAATAAGTTGCACCTCATCTGTCCTGCCTCTAGTTTCTGGATTTTCGAACCTATCGTTCTTCTGTAAGAGCTGCAGTTGTAAAACTTCAACCGTATCCTCTAACTCTTCCCCTGAAAACACGCTAACAGTTTCAAATGACCATGACAACAAGAACAGCAACAAATCATTGCATCCAAATTTTGTGTATGTTTTTCAGTATCCTCCAGTCAGTCATCCATGTGCTGAACAACTGGACCAGGTGCCAATAAGGCAAAGCAGAATGCTATCTAGTTCTTTATGAAACTCATAATGTAATGTGTCAGACAGATAAAAAGCATGTAATGGTAATATTTCTTGAAAAGCAAAAATAAATATAAAATATTAAAAAATAAATATTTGCGCATGAAGATGGTGACACTAGCAATGAACCTGGCCACAAAGGAGGAACATTCTAAAGGTAATGGATGTCTCTACTTAGTATTTATGGGAGGAAAAGATACGAATTAGCAAAGAAAATTAACAGTGTTCTAAGTAGATGAAAATGTAAAAATGTAAAAGTAAAACTGAGGCCAATTCGAGTGTTGGACTGATGATTATCAGTGAAAAGATGAAAATTAGAAAGATCTGCAAAAGGAAATAACGGAAATTTCATGTAATGGCAATCGTTGCGAATTCCTAAGACTGGCTGGAAATTGAGCGCAGCATATCTGTAACACTAAATCTTTATGAATTCATGAGGTAGGAATTCATATTGTACTTGTATGGAGAAAGTATTCATATCTTACTTATATGGATGGGGAAATTAACATCTTAGTAGGTTAAATGGCTCAAGCAAGGCTTGTATTTCCTGACAACAAAAGTGGAATTTTTGATTATGTTCATGGATTCTGGTGCCAGACTCTTCCATCACTAGCCCTTCTGGACACTTCCATCACCATCTCTGTGGGGAACAGCAATTTACTTTGCCTTCTCTGCCTCGCTTTATCTACTAAATATAGATAGTAAAAACATCCATCCATAGTTGTTGTCAAGATTAAGTGAGTTATATAACGCATTTGGAATGTTCTAAAAACATTTGAGGATATTTTGTAGTTATTATTGCCATTATCTGACTCTAAAAATAATATTTTTTATACAGCCAGAGTTAAAAATAAAATCACAAGCTCTTGTTTCTTTAACATGCCAGGCTTAAACATCATGATTTTCACACCACTCCTCAAAATTGATATTTCGTTACTTCATAGATAAAACTCAGTAAAGTGGAATCTTTTCTCAGGATCACACAGTAATAAATAGCTATTTCTACTGTCTGAAAAGGGTTTTATTTTTCTTCAAAGGCATTAGTGGGTCACCCCTGAATTTGAAGCCAAAGACATTATAAGATTTGTGCTATAGGCAGCACTTTGTGCAAGGGGAATACCCAGAATGTCTTGATACAGACGGGATGTCAAAAATAGCTTGGGAGACAGATGAATAATTGAGAGAACTGCCAAGAGGTCATTACAGTAATCTAGTCAAGAAACTCCAAAGCCCAATATATACAGTAATGCTGGTTGAGGATTAGAAATTAGAGAATATAGTTTAATATTTATGCTGTCATCATTAGTAGTTCTGATGACCAAAGGAATATAGAAAGTAATGGATAATGAGAAATCCAGGACTATTCTGAAGTTTCTGTTGATACTTTCTGTACCTTGGAGAAGTATGCAATTGGATTTTTAGAACAAATAGATGTTAAAATTTTTCACTTTAAAATTGAGATTTCTGCATACCCTCCTAAGTGAAATATTTATTAGACAGCTGGATTTATAAGTCTGGGATTTTGAAGAGATATAAGTTGGAGAAGTAAGTGTGGATTTGATTTAACAATTGAATGAAAATCGATATCATGATATAAGTGTTCCAAACAGCTGCCACTCAGGTTCAAGTGCCAGCTTAGGAAGGCTACTCTCCTTCCCTCCAGCCTCCTGCTAAGGTGTCCCAGGAAGCGGCAGAAGGTGGTTTAAGAGCCTTTGCTATCCATATGAGAGATCCAAGTTGAGTTTTAGGTTCCTGGCTTTGGCCTAGTCCAGCCCCAGCTGTTGCAGGTACTTGGAAAATAAACCAGTGGTTGAAAATCTCTCTGTTCATCTCAGCCCCTCTCTCTCTCTCGTTTCCTCTTACTGTCTCCCACCCCATCACTATATCTTTGAAATAAATAAATAGAAATACATTTTTCAAAGAAAGAAATTTGAGAGAGTGAAAATAGGGCATCATGAAGAAGGAGAACAAAAACATTCAAATGGGCAAGAAAACAAAAAACAAATAAACAAAGAGTAATACAAGTCCAAGATGAGCAGTGGAGGGGAGCAGCATAGGCAAAGGGAGTATAAATAGGAAAAATAAATTCTGAAAGAACAAATAATCGAAAAGTTCAGAGGGGACCACGTCAATTTTTTATCTTAGAGATATTGATGAAATTTAACTGGGAGTTTAACTGATGTGGGAGGAATCAAGGTGGAAACATTATAGCCATGGTTGTGCTTCCTGCTTTGCATTTTAATGCATGTACATATGATTCAAGGGAGAAATAGAAATTGCTGTTGTGGAAACACGAGAAAGATAAAAGAGAACAAGTGCAACGCTGTGCATTGCTGTGCGCCTATTATCACATCGGTGTCTATCAGTGTAAACAATTGAGTTAGGAAAAAAAAGAAAAGCTTTCAGTTACATAACCTGTGTGTTACATCTTCAATTTCAATTCTAAATTATTCTAAATTTCGAATGGAAAATCCTAAAATGTAAATTCCTGAAAAAAAAATCTTAGAGCACTCTGTTAATCATTTTTGTTCACTGAAATCCATTGAATTCTGAATGCGTGCATAGTTTTCTTTCTCACTCTTCACATATTAAATACCTCTGAGATATTTAACTATGTACATTGAGTCACTTTTTGACTGTAGGCATTGCTGTCTAGATTAGGAAAATGAGCAAGGACATGGCATTCTGACAATACTAGCTCACTAATTTCTGTCTGATGCAGTGCCTGGACTTGTAGGTTCTGTTTGCATCTTGACAGAAAGATATACAACTGAAGGTATTATACTTCCATGAAAATTGTATTATGATAGTATCAAATCTAGCTCTTTTTTGACTCTCCCCTTTTCTTAATGGTAATTCATTGAAAACATGAAAATCCTTTGCATTAAAAATATTCTGATATCTGCCGATTGTTTTGCTTGACACAGACTTCTCCCTCATTCTGTTGATAAAAGGGGGTACCCTCTCTGGAACAGACACTTACCAATCTTTGGTTAACAAGACCTTCGGCTTACCAGGATATCTCCTCCTTTCTATCCTGCAGTTTCTGTATCCTTTCATAGGTAAGATGATGAAGATACACACTGCAACGATTTTCCTAAACCTAGGCATTTCTGAATGAAATAGGTCTTTTTATTGTTTTTTTTTTTTTGATACAATTTAGTCAGTGGTGGTTTTAACAGTCATCAATTGTGAAAGGATATCAGCACTGAAACATTTTCCAAACTACATTTTTGCTTCTTTAAACATTTTCATCCTCCTTTTCTTCTCCTTTAGTTTTATTTTATAAACATTTTGCAAAGTAAAATGAAATGAAGAAAGAGGAGGATGGATGGCAAGGAGCAAGGATTTGTTTCATGTATTGTTAAATACATGAGACGCGTTTATTTAAATGAAATCACTTTTAAAAGCACTAAAAAGAAAATGAAGCTGAAAAGTATTATTACTGGGTTAATTTGGTGTTTTTTTCTTAAATGGTAAAAAAATGTACAATAGATTAAAAGTAAATGAAAGAAATATTATATGCATAATACATATTTTTAATGTAGGGATTTGTGGAAACCACGTATTTGGTCAAAATCCAATTTACAATTTGTTCCATACTAGTGAAGATGTTACTTAGCATTTCTTATATTGCTAAAATGTTAATAATCACCAATGACCAAATTCATCTCATTTTAAACTCAGTATTACCAAAGCTGTCATGAAGCCATGAGTTCTAACATCTTCACAAAACCTTAAAAATGTATTTCAGCTTAAAAAAGATAAATAAAAAGAAACCCTATGTTTCTGGAGAGGCTATTGTCCTATTGTTATTTTTCACTTTAGGTACTACATGTGTTCCTGAAAATGTGTTTGGAAACTAAACTTTACCTACAAAATTAATTGTATTTTAAATCCTAACCCAAACTCACTATTCAAAGTATTCTGGAGTAAAACTATTTATAATGTTAAAATGTTAAATATAAATTGGTATATGATATTATTAGTTATAATATATATTTGATATCCTATGAATATGTTAACATTTAGGAAGTAATAACATTACTTTGAGAATATTGAGGATGAAATATGTTATAGCTTGCTATTAACTATTATTTTAATTATATTTTTAGCTATGATAAGCTACAACATAATAGCTGGAGATACTTTGGGCAAAGTTTTTCAAAGAATCCCAGGAGGTAAGTAAAATAGAAAATTTGAGGAATTAAATATATTTATTTTACATGATTCTAGGTTTAAAAAACATTTTTCTTATTTATTATTTGAAAAGCTAAATGACAGAGAGCAATAAACAGAAAGACAGAAAGAGAGAGAGAGAGAGAGAGAGAGAGAGTGTATGTGTGTGTATGTGTGTTTGCATGTGTCTCTATCCAAGAACTGAGTCCTCAAACTGATGCAACAGCTAGGACCAGACATGAACGGCAGGGCCCCAAGCTTGTGGGCCATCTTTTGCGCCTTTCCAGTGGAGTATAAGGAACTTAGGCCAGCACTCTCATATGTGATGTGATATGTCCCAAGTGGCAGCTTAACTTGCTGTGCCAGAACACTAGCACCTAAATGTAATAAATGCAGCCATGATAGTTTACACGGAAAGAATATTTGAAAGTGGAAGAATTTTGTTACTTCAGATATCTTGCAATATCCCTGATCCAAATTACTGATTTACTTTTATATGTGAATTAACTTTGTGTCAGCTGCTGGAAAAAAATGTTAATATTATTCAAACACAGAGAAATTTTGTTTCAAAGTCCTTATGCTTCATATCACCAGCTCTATGTAGTTACGTTTTTCATGTACTACTTATACTTAATAAATTCTTACATAAGCAAGCTACTTTCCCCATTACTTTCTTCAAGTACCCTTTAACACACAAAAAGTAACTTTTTAGAATGTGTTACTATTATGTGTATTATTACGATAAAGGCATGTAGTAGTGCAATCACAGCCACATTCAAAATATAGAATAATCCTATTATTCCCTCGGATTTTCTGCATTCCCTCTTTGTAGTCAGGCATTCCCTCATCTCCAGCCTGTGGGAACCACTAATCTGATTCTCTCCACCCTGTAGTTGCGCTTTTTCCAGAATGCCTTGTAAGTGACGTCATACAGTGGGTAGATTTTGAGTCTGGATTCTTTCACTTAGCAGATGTATTTGAGATTCATCCATGTCTGTGGGTGTTTTTGGAGCTTGCTCTTTTATTGCTGAGAATTTTCACATGTTGAGGATGTACCACAGTTATCTGTACTCCAGTGGAGGGACAAAAGCATCTATAAACATCCTCAAGCTGAAATCTTCAACGTGGGCTGCAACCCTACTCCCTGCTGTATCGTGGTTATTAAAGTAATTCAGAGATAATGTATCACTTCTATTTCTTAAAGAAAGATTTTGAAATTATTTTAAAAGGCAGGATGTCAGAAGGAAATGGAGGAGGAGAGGAAAGGAGGTGAGAAAAGAGGGAGAGAGAGTGAGAGAGAAACAGAAAGAGTGAATATCTTCCATTAGTTTGTCCATTCCACCAGATGCCTGCAATAGCCAAGGTTACATCATGCCAAAAGGGGCCAGAAACCGCCACCTAAGTCTTCGGAGGTAATGGGAACCCAAACATTTGGACCATCACCCATTGTCTCCCACGTGCAATAGTAGGTTCCCAGTACGTTAATGGGAATCACAGAGCACCCAGAACTCAAACATGGTTACCTGTCCTGGGATGGGAATGTCACATGTGACAGCTTAACCACAGCCACCCCAATTCACTGTGACCTAACCACTAAAGTTGAGAATGTTGATGCAACAACCCCTTTTCTCTTAGTGCTTGAATCTTTCATTTTAGTGACAATCCAGGCACTGATGGGACACTGGTTTAAGTGTTGCAGGTGGCTTAACCCACTGTTCCACAATGCCAACCCCAAAGGGACAACTTCTTCCATTTCTCTTAGATAACCACAGCATTTATTCTTACTTCTGGGTAAGTATTTATTGATACTTCTGGGTCTAGATTATCCTTTAAGGGAACAGAGGAAGGCAGGAGCAGAGAAACTGGTTAGAAGTTGTGTGTTGGAAAAACATGTGTCTACTCAGTTCCACAACACCATCAACAAAGGTGACTCTGTCCTCCACATCAAGCAAGCAATGAAGTGTGCAGGAAATTCCAATTAGGTACCCTCTATTCCTGCTCCAGTTAACACTACATGTAGAAGGCCACAACTCACGCAGGTCAAAGGCTCAGTCCTCAACGCCCCCTCCTCATCCCCACCTTAGATGCCTGTCAAATGCCCCAAGTTAATTGGCCTATGCTTTGGATCCCACCCATAAATCACAGTTCCCACAACCCCTCAGGTGAATTAGATCAATCTCTTTGAGCAGCTCAGAGAACTCAGGAATCACGTGTTACATTTACCAGCTTGTTATAAGCAACATCACAGAGGACAGAGATGAAGAGAGGTGACACATGGGCGAAGGAGCACAGGGTTTCCATGTCCTCTCTGGGCACATCGTCCTCCAGGAACAGTTCTCAGCTGGTCAGAAGCTCTCAGAATCCTGTTTTAACTGATAGATATCCATGTGATGCTTAAATATAGGTATACACTGTATAAGCTTTGAATCAGGGTAAACATATCTCCAAAAACATTTATTATTTCCTGATGAAGAAAATATTCCAAATCTTTTCTTCAACCACTGTTTGACCAAAGAATGTAGTACATTAGATAATGCTACCGCACCATGCAATAAAATGCCAGAATTTCTTTCTCCTATTTAGTTGTAACTTAGCATGCATTGTCCTCCATTCCCTATCCCTGCCTCTCACTTTTTGTTCCATATTTCAAAAACATCATTGCTTAGATGGAATTGCTAATTGAGTGAATGAGCAAACCCAACAAACCTCTCTGTGCAGGTTCTTCTTGGCCTTTCTGTGTAATTTTCCTTTCCCACAGAAAAGGGGCAAGCCCACTCTGGAATGAGAAAGTCCTTATGATCTACTATCAGACAAAGTGATCAGAAAATTCCATTACAGCCATCTAAAATAAGACGACTAGAGAGTCTCTGACCTATTCTTGGGAGGCAGTTATAAGACAGAAACTACGGTTAAAAACTAAAATACACTTACAATATCACATGGACCGTTACAATAGTAAGAATGTAAAATATCACAACATCTTTCAAAATATAATTTCATTTTAAGTGACTTCTTCATTATATTTTTGTGATTTATTTTTATTTTTCATGGTTTAATGAAGTTTAACTCAAAATCATAGTCATCCAGGTAGTATGTGCTATTTAAGTGGTTTTATGATTAAATGCCTGAAATCGACATGTTATTTATACCTGTAAGTACTTAATAAATAATATTTATTGTGTTTCAGTTGATCCTGAAAACTGGTTTATTGGTCGCCACTTCATTATTATACTTTCCACAGTTACATTTATTTTGCCTTTGTCCTTGTACCGAGATATAGCAAAGCTTGGAAAGGTATGTTTATATTTTTAAAGATAGATAGCTACCACTTTTATGATATGTGTTCATTTTGTTGATCTACCATCTATTTGACAAAGTTCTTAACAATAGCAGTTTTCTTTAGTAAACTTATGATTGTGTCAGAGTAAGCTGGTTAAATCATTAGTTTCTTCAGGGGAGGGATGGGTATGCAGTTAACAATCATAAACTAAACATGCTCTTCTTCTGTTTTCCCATTAAGATAGATACCTTTATTGTTGTCAAACAACACAAGTTAAACTGGAATTTTCAAGGGTTTATTTATTTGTTTGTTTGTTTTTGGAAAGCCAGAGGGAGGGAAGAAGACACACACACACACACACACACACACACACACACACACGAGATAGAGAGAGCTCTTCATTCACTGGTTCGATCCCCAAATGGCCAGAATGGCCAGAACTGGATCAATTCGTAGCCAGAAGCCAGAAACTTCTTACTGTTGGTCCAGGGACACAGCACCAGTCATCCTCTGCTGGTTTCTTAGACACATTAATAGAGAACGAGATCCAAAGTGAAACTGCCAGGATGCAAAAACTAGAGCCTGCATGAGGCACCAGTTCCACAGGCAGTGTCTTTTTAAAAAATTTTTAATTTTTTAATTTTTTTTATTGCCCAGGGGGCATACATGGTAGTGTAATGAGTTAAGCCACTGCCTGCAATGTCAGCATCCCATATGGCTGCTCTGCTTCTGATCCAGCCCACAGGCAGTATCTTTACGTGCTAGACCACTACACAATCCCATAATTTGGAATTTTTAATTCAGTCATTTTATATGTTAACATGTTGACTGGTAAGTTTAACGTTTGGTCAGTATCTGTTTCTCATTGCTAAAGATAAATAATGAATTCTTTATAACAAAATCAAAATAATTAGTCAATTCATGACAGAAATTCATTTACACAGATAAACCTTTATCTGCCTGCATTTTATTCTCTTACTCTGAAGATGTGCTTGTATTTTGCGCAAATTACTGTTGGTGTTGATCTACATGACGCCAAGCATTCTGATGAAAAAAACTTAAAGCTGTTTACGTTCTGCTTCAATACTGCTCTTTGAAACTTTGAGCAAGCTCAATTTTTCCTCCTCCTGTGACATTTGATGTGCTTAGTTCTGAAGTCTCTTCTAGGTAGAAGTGTGAATAGAGGCAATATTCTAGAGCATTCCTTCCCTAACAGCCACCCAGAAATGATCAAGAGTGTACCAGAAGGGACAATTGATGAATTATCTGAATGAATCAACTGACTTTTAATTTGCATGATCAATGGTAGACATAAATACCATTCATATGTTCAGAGAACAGAAAATGAGGTATTCATGAAACAAAGTCCTATAATATTAATACCTGATTTTTAAAAATACCCCTTAAAATAAAAAAACTGCATTACCCAAAGGAGTCTCCCAACAGGGAAACAGAATAGTTGAGAACCTTGACCTAAAGTCAAGCTGCTTACATTTCAGTTCCTTTTGTGTCTCGGTGGAGCTGTGTGTCTTTGCGCATGTTACTTAATCTCTCTGTTCCTTGGGTGACTACAAACTTCTAATACAAACTTCTTTCTGTTTAAAGATTAGCAACTTAGAAAACAATTCTAATGGAAATCACATGCTGCAAAAATGATAATATGATATTATTTTTTCTTATTAGTGAAAAAAATCTAAAATGTGGTTAGCCACTGGAAAATTAAGCATAGAAACAGTGATTTTACTTTAACCAGGTGAAGTAGTGACAGAAGAGAAAGGAAAGAAAAAATAAGCCGAAAAGCACAAACCAAAGGGCAAAACCACAAAAACAAAACGAAACACCGCAGACCAATCAAGGTAGCAAGCTAGCAAGCGAGCAGCCACGGAGTTAAAGCAGAGGCACATCCCCCAGATGTGAATGGGGGGAGGTATCTGTACTGTGTGGCAGGGGAGAAGGTAAGCTAAAGACAGAAGCATAAGTAGTTGCCAACATAGAAAAAGCACAAGTTAACACTAAGACAGGACCTGAAGACAAGCAAGACATGATTTCACTTTCACTTTTGTAAACTGAAAGTCTTTTGTATTTGACACGGGGAAAATGCTTAGATTCAAATCTCAAGATTATAATTGTTATATTTCACATTTGCTCACCCTCTGGCAGAGGGGGCAAGACGAAGAAGTTGTATGTCTGAGATCATTAACTACTAAGAACAACTGCATATTTGGATACAGGAAATCTATGTGAAAATTCACCTACGTAAAAGAAAAAACTCCTATTATTATCAATAAAGTAATGCTTTCTAAACTGACAATAATTTTACATATTCTTTTGCAGATCTCCTTTATTTCTACAGTTTTAACAACTATGATCGTTGGAATTGTGATGACAAGGGTAGTTTCGCTGGGTCCATACATGTAAGTGTCTGTTGGTGCTATTGTTTTAAAATTTAACACATTTAACTTTTGTTGTTACATTTGTTGCTCTTTGGTTTATCATAGATATTTATATGACATAGAATAAATGTCATATGTTGTTGTATAAATGTCAAAATATAAAGCAGTACTTCAGGGACACCATTCATCTTTAGTATTTCAAAAAATGAGTGAAATAAATACAAACAAGATAATTGTACTTATACATTTTTCAGTTGCATCTTGCAAAGCTCATGGCATTATACCAAGTGTGTATCATCATTTTAATAAGCAGTCCTAAGTACTAACATAAGCAAGGGGTTTTGAACAGTGAAAAACAAGAGCATAATAGAAGTATGCATTCCAAGGAAGAAATTATTTGTGACAAAGTTTATCAATTTAGGCTGAAATGAAGGTAAAGTAATGTAATATTTTCTCTTAAAAACGGAATGTTGCCACATTGCAGTCCACCTTTACTCTCCTCTATGATTATATTTTTAAAATAATCTTGTGCTTAAATCATCCATCATTTCTTAGCCAGTGCTCATGGCGGTGTTAATTTATTTTTAATGTTATTATTTGGCCAAGTAAAATGTTGACAAAATTGGCTCCCTCAATTTTGAAAATATGGCTCATTCTGGGAATGTAAAACTGCAGGTTCTGTTAATCTGAATTACACAATGTGTATGCTTTATTTATAGAATGAATTCACTATGTATGTAATGGGGACTTTATGCTAATAGCTCTAAGAAAACGTATAAAATGTGTCTGCAATACAAAATTGTCTCCTGAATAGATAAATAGAGTAGCTGGGAGTTTCCATTAAATCTTAATTATTTCTTCAATACTAAATAAGAATTAAAAAATTAATTTGCTACAATGTCTGGCACAAACAATGTGATTTTTTTTTTTTTTTTTGATGAATGGTATCTGCGAATGAAAGCAGAAAGGAACCCTAGTGAATAGTTTTATGTGTTGGTGCAATCTTCTGGGTAGTTGATGATTTCCTGTTGATTGGTAATTATTCTTCAATGCTACTTCATTTTCTACTGTACAGGCTTATGAGAAACTCCTTATTTCACCAGGAAAAAAAAATGCAAGCATTTCAGAATTTTGTTTGGTAATGCAGGATCTCTTGTCTAATTGCATTTGATGAATCTTCTCTTTGAAGCAACAAATGCCTATTTTTAGAAGACTTAAATTTTTAAAGTATGCATAACTTCAATGTTCAAGATAATTTTTCTCTCTAAATAATGTAACCTTGATTCTTAGTTGTATTACTGTGTGGATCAACCAACAGGAATCTCTGTTCTGCTAGTTCTGCAGTCAAAGATCAGGATGCAGCGGGATCAAGGCCTTGTGTCAGTGTGGCAGAGGCAATGTTCCTGCTGCATGCTCATGTGGCAAAGAGAGAAAACAGGCTCCAGGTGTCTGCTCACACAAGGGCACTAGTCCTACTGACAGGACCCCGGCCGTAGGTTTTCTTCCAACTGTGATGGTCTCCCAAAGATCTCCCCTCTCAATAAGATAACTTTGAGAGCTAGAGTTTCAACATAGAAGTGTAGAGGGAAATAATTCAGGCCATACCTTTACTAACTCTGAATTGCACACGATTCATTTCAACATGTCTATTTATTCTTTAAGTTAGTAAGCTGAGTGTCTATTTCCAGGTACTGTGCTGCATCCTGAGAAGAAAATGGAAAGGAAGGTCATAAACCCATACCCACTGCATGCTGCTCGTGATCGTTACAGAAAAGGGGTTTATGAATGTGCACTTTAGAATGTGTGCATGTACTGAAATATCACATTAACATCCATGCATATGTATAAATTTACATGTCAGTTAAAAATGATTTTTAAGGATTTATTTATTTATTTATTTGGAAGGCAGAATTACAGAGAAAAGGACAGAGAACAATTTTGTGTTCACTGGCTCACTCTCCAAATGACTGCAGTGCCTGAGGGTGGGCCAGGCAGAAACCTGGAACCTGTAGCTTCCTCCAGGTTTCCCTTGTGTGTGGTGGGAGCCCAAACATTTGGCTCATCTTGCTTTTCCTAGGCCATTAGCAATGTCCTGAATTAGAACTAGAGCAGCTAGTACATAAACTTAAAAAAATATTTTAAAAGAATAGCAATAATGGAATTGAGAAGTCACAAATGAAAAATTGTATAACCACTGACATCAATAGATGATTTTAGTACTAAGGGGGTAAGAATAACATTGAAGAAGAAAAAGTGTAGAAAAGTAGGTTTGTAACTAGTACAGGAAAAACGTTGGAGTTTGATGCAGTTTAAAATCTGAATGCCACTTTCTAGCAAGAGTGTGATTGTGGATCAGTTATCTTCACCTGCCAAGGTCCTGGGTGATAACGCGATTTCACAGAATTGTGTTGTGTGAATATTACCTATGGCACTATATGATGATTTGGGCTGTGTGGTGATAGTATCAGGGGTAGATGCATATGTCCAAACTTTTCAAGATGTTAAATTACATGTGGAATATTTTTGTATATCAATTATATGCCTCCCCCTCAAAAAATTTTAAAAGGAAAAAGAAGGGATGGTATGCTGTGAAAAGTGTCAAGTAGAAGCTTGACAGGGGAATGGAGACAATGCCAAGGAAGGACACTCGATAGTCTGCCCAGATCAGCTAGGGCTTCCTCAAAGCAGAAGTGTGATCTTTATATTTTGACGGATGAATTTGAATTTTTCCAGATAAATAGAAGAGTTAAAGATCTTACAGGCCCAGTAGAGGCATATAAAAGCATGAAAAACCATATTCCATTCCAGTGATACTTACTTAGCTTCTGTTGTGCTGATGCTCTGTTCCACTCTAGTTTTTAAAAGCTGAATTAACAGTAATGGAAAGACAATCAGAATGTTAAATAGAAACCAAGAAACAATTTTTGCTAATACTTTGTGTTTGAGACAAAACTAAATTTTTTAGATTTATATATTTATTTGAGAGTTACAAAAGAGCAAGAAACGGAGAGAGATCTTCTATCTGCTGTGTCACTTCCAGATGTCCGCACCAGCCTGAGTGGAGCCAAGCCAAAGGCAGGCTCTTCATCTGGGTCACCCGCTTGGGTGACAGGGATCCATTCACATGGGCCGTGGTCCACTGCTTATCCTAGGTCATGAACAAAGAGCTGGAGCAGAAGTGGAACACCTGTACTAAATGCTGGTGCCACAGGTGATTGCTCTACCTGCTGCTGTGTCACGATGCTAGCCCCTCAAAATTATTTTAGCTAAAGCTTTTTTATTATTGCAAATAATTCTAGAAAAAAAATCATTTGGTTGCTACAAAAGATCTTATAGATCAATAAATGACTGATAAATGTAATATCATAAGGAAATCCTGTGGAGGAAAGGCAGCTAATGATAAAAGTAAGCAAATTCATCCACAATTCCATGAGGAGACGGGAGAAAAGCATTGAAAATACTACCTGAAATGTTAACAGACTTGTTCTAGGACATGCAGTGAATTCCATTCTTTAACAGTTGATCCTGTAAACCAGAATCTTGACTTAAACAGAGTAAAACCACCAGTACACGTTTTAAATGACACAACCTTTCCAAAATTGAGCCAGATTTTGTTATTTTAATGGCTGTTTTGTGATCAACTTGCATGATTCATGCCACACTTTTTCTTACATTTATAGTGTTTTTACGCATAAAATGTCATGTGTGATACTATGATGAAGACAGAGATTTCTGCTCTCAATGGGTACACAGCTTCGTGGAAAATAGAAAGCATACAGATGGTTATCGTATAGACTGCATGTCATGGGACAAAGGAAAGAGGAAGGGGAGTCCACTTCCTGGTGAAACTGCATGAACTGATTTTATGGCCAAAGCAATATTTATTTCTGTTGTAAGCAAAAATGTTGTCTATACTTACCTAACCTAATATAGTAGTAAAATAATATTTTATCTGAGCCTTTGAAGTTTTGCTACTAACATATTATTTACTTAACTCTCCCAATATTTACATGTTAAAGAAGCATGTTTTATTTTAATACAATGCCACTTTGATTTCTGTTTGAATACTGCAAACAACTTGTGTTTGTACTGAATTACAACCAGGCTAACCAGATCTGGTCCTCAGTAGTCAGCAGGGTAGCTAGTCAGGCTTCTTTCTGAAAATGTAGTAACCATAAACAATCAGGATCCATAAAGCATGAGAAAGTCAATACTTCATGTGTGATTTCTCTCCGTTTCTGGTTCAAATAAATGATCAGAAAATCTGTTGTTTTTCACCAGGCTTTTAAAGCAGTTTTTGAAAAAGATCTTTAAACTCACTAACAGAAACGACGAAGGCCTGTAATGGCTACTGGTATTGACCTTGTTACTATGGAAACACATTTTTAGTGGTTGTATTTTAAAAATTAAGCACAATTCAATTTCCTTTTCCATAAGTCACAGGGCCATAAATCCTGCTTTTTGATATTATTTCAGATATCTCACAGCCCAATGACCTTCAGTTCTTTTGGAAATTGGATTCGGTTTTCATTGTATTTTCCAACCTTTCGCTTCCTAAACCTGAGGTGGCAAGACAATCTAATTGTTTCCAGAAAGTGTGCAAGAATAAAAATATAATAACATAGTCCTTCCATTTTCCTAACTAGGATGAGAGCTTTTATTGCTATGAAAACCTTCATTCAGTTTCTCATTAAAACGCATGCTTTAGCCTTAGAACAAAAACAGTAACACTTTTCAAGTTTACAATTCTTTCTGCCTTCATATGCCTTCTCTTTTACAACATTTTGGTGAACATTACAGTATTCTAAGTGTAACTCCAGGAAGTGTGTCTACATTTTGAACAGGCATGTATGCATATAAATGTCCTTCCTCAAGAATCTCAGGACATTTTTGGATCCATTCCAACCCTGAAATTCTGCAGTTTAGTGCTTCATATTAAAAAGGATTGGAGGAGGTAAAAAAAAAAAGGATTAGAAGAAATGAGGTAGGGGGTAGGCAAAGAAAGAACACATAGTTGTGGG